GAAGGAAAGAGAAAAGGAACAAGTTCCAGTGGAGAACCTGTTCGACACAGACCGTGGTAATATATTATGGGGATCAGGATTTGTATGAAGAGAAGTGTGTAACCCTAGCTTAACGCTAATACCGGGCAATCAATCATACAGCCGAGAAGGAGAAACGTTTCGAATGTAGTCTTGAACCTGAAGAAAACGATCTTACACGAGTTCAACTCGTATTATCAATCTTCTTCGTTTACTCTCTGCTTTTAAAGTGTTTCAAATATTCTTCGTGTACAGTGCTCGTCAAAAGTTTGCAATCACTGTGCATTGCAATTTAGGTGGGAATTTTATGAAAAGGAATTTGCAACTTTGAGAAACATTTAACAAATTTTTTTGCTATTTTAAAGAAGCAGATTGCTGTTGAGCTTTAAAACATTAATTCCAAACTTAAATAAAATTGAAAAGAGATTAGATATTTATTAATTAATTATATTTCACATGAAACTTTGGGTTTAAATTGATGAATCACTCAAATGACAATATTTCCTTCTTCCAAACGAGATTCTATCGACACTATTATAAATTGACAAGTGACTCGAAAATTTCAGTCACCGATGTATAGCACATCTATCAATTTCCACGAAATTAATTGCAAAAGAGGAAAGAATGCAAAAAAATCAAAACTGTCCATCAAAAAAAGAACAGAAAATTTTATCTCTGGAAATATCCGAGCGTGATTTTCACTGCACGAATTCCATTCTTTCCGCCATAATAACGCGGTGGAAATACCGCTCGGATGACGTACCAACAGCTACGTTCCGTGACGAAACGATTTCTGCATTCCACGGCCGGGCTATCGATACCAATTTAAATTCCAACGCGGTGGCGGGCGTACATCGATGCTCTTCGTGACTGTGCTCCACGAAGGGCTCGGCCCTATGGCGGTCCCGTAGCATTTCGCCCCTATTTACTATTTGCCTCGACCCCAACCGGGGGAAAATCGTGTAGAAATGGCTCTTAATTACACCGATCCTATTGAATTCGCCACTCTCCGCGCAGCAGTGCCACGTGCGCTAACGCTACAACGCTGTTTTTTTTCTTCTTTTCCTTTTTTTCCTCGGTGGGCACAGTTTGCATTGTCCTTTCCACCTCTCCACTTTCTCTCTTCCCTTTCTCGGTTTACCCGTTCGCGAATTCCGACGATTTTTCTTGTTTTTTTGGCGGGAGGAAAAAAGAGGACGGTAACTTTGGACTGTACACGTCGCCGGAAATTGGAACGAGACTTTTCAATTGGAAATTGGTAGTTACGCCGATGGAGATCCTTTTTAAAGTGTTCCAACTGGCTGGTAAACTTTTTTCGGGGAAATCATTCGCCACGGGTTGTCCCGGTGCCAACTTTTCAGTTACGATATTGAAAAATTCTAGATCGGTTGAGAGAATCTCACCGATTCGGTGCCAGTTTTCTGCGTGGACGTAAGTGGAGCATCTGTTGTCGATATTGAAGTGTTTTCTTTTTTTTGTTGTTGTTTGGTTTTTAAAGAAAGTTGAGTATTTCCTTCGGGTAGGTAAGAAATTCTCAATCTTCGCGGCTTCTGCGTACCGACAGCTCGTCGTTCTTGATAAGTATGAATCAATCACGAACGTCGATACCACGGTGGTATAGTGATCAATCAAGATCTTCGTACGTATCTTGCTATTAATCAATATTAATTTCCTACTGTAGCAAGATACGGAACAATCCAAGTTCTAAGCTCGAACAATTCACGTGAATTCCATTCACTTCCTGTTCAGATTACGTACAGATTTTATACTTCGCAAACACCCTTCGCTATTGTCAATACAGAAGATTCTCTCTTTAACCCTTTGCACTCCAATGGCGCTTTTATGGCGACACGCGTAATTACTTTGGAGAAATATACAATTCGGACTTTTTTTTATATTATTTTATATTACCAAAATAATGCAAATTAACACAAGAAATACAAATAAATAAATTCGTAAACACTAAAAATCCTTCTTTTTTTTTTTCAAGACAAAACTTTGGCTTTCCAGAAGTTTCACTCTTAATCTTATCAAAAAATGCTCGGAGTGCAAAGGGTTAAATTTCTAAAAATTTATCGATTCCTAAACTATACAATATCTTCGAAGAAGAAACCCGAAAATTTCCGGAGATATGGGAAGAAATGAATAAATTTTAATATTTTGCTCTGAAAGTCAGCATCAGGAAACATTACTTATGAAACCATAAATTATAACCATCGTAGAACAAAATTTGCAATGTAAATACCACCTAAAAATTTGCAAAACATAGTTGTTCAATTAAAAAATTAAAAGTAACCACTGACACTCCTTTAAATCCTGCAAAGATTCTTCCACAAACAGCCAGCACTCGTAAAACACTATCTCCCCCTCTAAACAACCCCTGATATTTCTGCTCTTTTTACCATCAGCCATATTTCACCAGACCATCATGGTTCTTATCACCGAGGTCCCCGAAAAATATTTTCCAGCGTATCGGCGATCAATTGATTCGGACGTAGAAGCGAAGACAGTTCCTTTTCACGTTCTCGAGGACGATGAATATCAGGAGATATACCAAGAGAGGGAATCTCGTGGCATATAATCTAATAACGAGTTTTTGTCCGCACGTATATATCGTGCACACGTCCTTCTATACACAGGGGTGGCTCGTCACCGAACCACCCCCTTCCGCTCCGTCCATGGTCCTCTCTGCATCGACGTACGGCTGGCAGACAAGCCTGATTCCTGGCCTAAGTTCGGTTAGCCCTCTTCCATTGTGCATTAGCATCTATTCAAGCTGGTAATCGAATCCTGCCGAGATAGCGAACTTTCGCGGGGGATTTGCGGTTGACTTTTGGCATTTCCTCTTTGGCTCACAGAGACTATAGATACGCCCAGTCACGACTGCATTAACGCCTACGAATGTTCCGTGGTATCGCGGGACTTTGCTGGAGTAATGCTTGCACATTGTTCTCCTGCACCCTTTCTGAGAAGAAAATTCGCCCATTTTCTGGAGTGAACCGGGATATTCATTTTTTGGGCTGTTTGCAGAATGGTTGCATGTCGTGGAATCAGAAAATTAGGTATTTCAGCATTCCCTCTGGTAAGAAAATTTGTAAATTTTGCGAAGTGAGTGGAGATATTAATTTTTCGGTTTGAAGAATGATTTTACATTGTGTAATCAAAGAATTAGGTATTTCAGCATCTCCTCTGATAAAAAATTCGACAATTTCGTAACGGCGATGAAGCTATTAATTTTTTCTTTGTTCTATTCCCAAAGCAAATGGAAGTTCGCCAAAAAATAGGAATCCAGAATTTACTTGAACTCTACGAGACGTATCTAGTCTCGTTTTCACAGAAACGCGGTTGTAGATGGTGCACGCAGATAGCTCACGGTCTTTTTTATTTCGCTCTCAGCCCACCCCTAGCTCGTTTATCACGTACACGAGGGCAACGTGTATATTTTGAGGGTTGAAGCGAACGGAAAGGCTGGAAGTGTCTCTGGCCACCTTATCTCCGCCCTGAGAGCGCGTATGCTAAATTGAATATGAAATTATGTGGCTTATCGCCCTCGTGGATGCACGGAAATGCGATAGGACAGTGCTAAACGAGTCCCCACTAGACATCATCCTCGAATTTCCTCCAATTCTTCGCTTAAATAACTCTCATCGACGTTTAATATTCGTAGAATCATCATTTGCAAATTCTAACCTGATTTCCAACTCGAAATTTCTATTTTCAACCCTTTCTAACTCGTACGTCTCACTTGAGTACTCGAACAAATATTGATCTCCATTCCAAAGCGTTAATTCATGGTCAATGCTCCAAATATATACTAACTCTTTTTTTTTTTGCGTGTAAAGATTGTCTGATTTTTTGTGTTGACAGTGGACTTACCAGTTTTGACTTGGTACTTCAAGGTGGTGGAACAATCGATGAGAAGTTGCTGAAGAGTCAGGCCAGTATCGGGAATCTCGAGGTCCAGGAGACGCATCATGTCCGAGGGATGATGGAAATCGAGCACCTTCGCGTTTCTATCGCTCGTCGATTTAATGAAATCCAACAGAATATCCACCACCTTCATCAGGAACTCCCTGGTTGCCGGGTAGCCCTCGGCATTGTGCGGCAGGATATCTGAGGGCAACAAACATACGGGGTTCGAACAATGGATACCCACCTATCTTTCCAATTTTTAATATTCTTTCTTTCAGAAACTACCGTTCCCTTGATGTCTTCGAAACTACAACTGTCAGTGACTAGTTTTCCTCTCGAAGTATCCTCTTTTGCATATCTCTCTTCTTCAACTTTCAATTTCCCCTCTAAATGTATTTTTGTAATTTCGAAAGTAAGCTATTTCTAATATTCTTTTGCATAAAATACTGTTCCCTTGATAACTCGAGCGAATAATTTTCCTCTAGAGACATTTGCTTCTTCAATTTTTCCTGAGGATATTTTCGTCCAATTTCGAAGATGTCAAGGCAACGATAACAGGTGGACCGCACAAGCTACGACATCGATTAAAAAGTAATGGTAAAGACGGCTAATTGTCTACGGTGACTCTCTAATTGTTATAATCAAGTGAAATCTCTTCTACGACAGCGACATCGATTGATTCTTATACCGTTTATCATCGAGAGCGGCGCGCACCATCGTTTCGACCTACCGTCGGCTCTCCGACGTCCTTCGCAGAAAACGTAATTTTTTAGAATGATTTCACCTCATCAAACAATTGAAAGTATAGACCTATATTGACACACTCTCACTTGTTTGGTGGGATGACACCATCTCACATCGTTGCCCACTTCGTCCTCCTCTTCTTCGTCCTCTTCATCCTTAACGTTCCCTCACGAGTTACTTCTTTCACTGTTCCAAAACTTGCATGCCGTTCCACACGCGAATCATGCACCATGTACGAACGATTTCAAAGCAAAATCCGACAAACGTGTAGAATTAATTTCGTAGAATATCGACAAATTTCTAATTTCTCTGTATGCGAAGTGAAATAATCAAGTACCGAAAGTATAATATAAGAGAGGAATCTCTTCCGAATCTCGTCTTAAGATAGCAATTTTTTAGCCCTGCTCCAGCGAGGATAACGCAAACCGTCTGCAGCGGGACATTTCAATGTGCTCGTGGTAAATCCTTGGTAGATTGAACTGTCCTTCAGTCGCAGGACGACCATAAAGTATCCCGCCGAATAAACCACCCTTCGTTTCCCCATTGCATTAAGAAGATCCCGTGGATAAACAGAACGACGACTCAGCAGCCATGCTTTAAAGTCATCGTTACCTTACCGCTCCAACAATAACGAGCAAAAGTAAATTCTCTCGTAAATAACACTTAAAAAAAAAACAATTAACACTTGTACCAAAATAAAACACTAAAAAAAATTTGGATTAAAAGTGTTCTAAGATAGACGTATCTCTCGGAAGATGTGTAAAGCTCCTGCACGATGGGATAAGTGTAGTTTTCAATGATCGAGAGAACGATGAATGAGAATCGGATGGAAAAGGCAGGAGAATGGAACCTTATGGGGAATCGTTCTGAGCTGATAGTTAGACAAGGGAAATCCCTGGCTTCCAAGGGCTCTGCTTCAGCTAATCCAGCTCTATCAATCTAACGTCTGAGAAAAAAGAGACCGTCGGGACTCTTTCTTCGTTTACGGCATTCTCCTCTCTCTCCCTCCCGATGGAAAACGAATGATCGAGCCTGCAATAAATACCCCGAATCCCGTGACAAGTTTGTGTATCGAGGTAAACGTTAATGGTTGCAGTTAAATCGCGCAAGATATACAATCGAACGATGCATCAGTTGCTGGCTGAATTACAGGTTCGAGCTTAATCTACGCGGAACTCGTACACCGTTTGGCACCAGATGCACCGGACCCCCGGCTCGTGGCTTTAATCAAAGCGCCTTCTAGGGGTTGTTACACGCGGCAATTAGTTCCGGCGATTTATAAGCGGGATTACGGGGTTAATTTATAGCAATGAAGAAATGGAGCAAGGTTGCTTGGACCTTCGAAGAAGCTCACTGCTGATCGAGATTTTCAATCCTTCTGAATTCTTTGTGGAAACAAGCGCTTGTAACAACGTTCACAGCGAGTGACTGAGTTTAGATTGTCAGAGACGTGAGAAGAGAGTGTTTCTGAGGAGTTAATATGATTGTGTATTTATAGGAATTTATGTGTATTACAGTTTCGTCTTAACGAGTAATTGTTGATTGGAGCATACTTAAAAATTGATTCTCACTTTTAAACAGTGTCTTATCGGTGTTCGGCACTTGGCAAAACGCAAACAGAATCACGACAACAAACCCTTCCGCCCTTTCTGCGGCGTGTAATCTGTCCTCAGCCACTCGTCGACTACGAGACTCTTCGGGCCAATTCTAAATCCTCTATTATTATGCACCCTTCCGAACTGCGAGTCTCGCGAAATCAGGACAATATTGTGACTCCCGGATTTCATTCTCGAGAAGCCAAGGCTCCGGTCTAATACGTAGGGGAACGGGCCAATGTACGCGATAATTTGTGTATATTTCCGATTAAATGGAACACAATGTTAATTTTTTTTTGTCTAATTTTGGTTAACCGTTCTTTGGCATTACGGTGGTTCTGCTAATTGCCTTGTAATTTAATTAGAATTAATTTCGTCAAACAGGTCAGGCGCGAAGAAGTGAATAGCGGTAAGTAGTTAAGGCCCGTATGTGGTCAGACACAGAGTAAACGGAATGTATGAGAGATTAGCTTCTATTCTACTGTAATTTGGCTATTTCAACTATTCTTCAAGCTACAGATAGTCATATTCACGGGCAATTGTATCATTTGAGACGTAGACTGAATGTAATTCAGTTAATTTGTGTTTTTAGTAGCACGAATAATCTGAGAATTGTGGAAATTTCACAATCAACTTGTTCACGATTTCAAAAATAACAGAAGAATAGAGACGTTATTATCGACTAATTCTACGTGTAATTTATCAACTACAAAGCATGCTAGAATGTCTAAGAAAAATTAGAAACATCTCCTCGTCGAACTTACCCGAATATTTCAAGTTACAGTGCTCCCTGGAGAGCGAGTACGTGTTTTCGGAGCTCATTAGTCTGGTTGGCGAGTGTGTCCGGGCGAAGTTCTGAAATTCACAATGAAATTCTGTGTTTCTTGGAGCCGTAATCACGTAGGAAAACATTTATCACAGACATCAGTGCAAAATCTACCGTAACACGACAAAAAAAAAACACGTCTTTTCTGAAAAAACCTGTTGACGAAAGAAACCAAAAAGTAGAAGTAGTAAAAGCGTTACAAAGTGGAATCATAAAAATATCATTCCTCTTTTCTTTTTCTCATTCAAGTAACGAAATAATCAGGAAGTAACAAAGAAAGAGTAGATTTAAAGAAAACGAAGAGCTACGATTGTCGTAGCGGCAAAGAATTGTAAAATGAACAGAGAGAAAGAGAAAAAGAGAAAGAAAGAGAGACGATGAATGACGTGCAGCGAGATGGGAATGCCTTACATATAAGTATTCCTTGATCGCTGTGATTTTAGTGCCGATCATTTGCACATTGTCCATGTCTCTGCTTGTGCCCCTCGCCTCAGTCCCTACAACAATCAACAACAGTGTCCGCTTCAGTGTCGAGCTTTTCGTACTTTCGCGCTTCTTTTTTTCTTATTATTATTTTGTTTATTTTCCAGCGAGAGCTTGACAGAAATTGCGCAACTGCGAAGCGAGAATTAAACGCTGAAGGAGCACCGCAGGCCGAGCGACCAAAGAAACATGGACAGAGAGCATTTTGCATTCGATTTCTTTTCATTCCTTATTCATTTTTTTTCTTTTTTCGTTCGTTTTGCGTTTCATAATTATCTTCCGATTCTCGTGTGAAAAACAGCGAGGTTGCGTTTGTACAAAGAATTGTATGTCGTTGCTCTCTGAACCGATCGACTGGTCCTTGGAGCGAGTAAAGAGGCAAGCGATAGATCATCCTGAAGAGATCAGGCACTACGGATCGCTCTACCGAAAGACAAATAATTCGAAATTAAAATTCTCGGACAGAAAGAAACAGTGCAAGATTATTCGACCGGTGGTAATGAAGGAGAGGTAAGTAAGTGAGTCGTGCAGTTTTCATTCAAGTGTTTCGTACGGTACTAAGAAAGAAAGAAAAAAAAGACACTATACCCACAAACGTGCAATACAATTTTCACACGTCACAATACAAATCACGTTCGTGGGTATTTCTCCGTGACACACTAATCAGAAGAAATGAAGCGAGAATGAGAAATGCGTGAAAGCGAGAGAATTGTTCGAAATTCGGTACTCGAGAAAGTTTCGAAAAATAAAAAACAAGAGAAACACAATTTCAATCCTTAAAAACCATCTCGAGCACTCCTCTAAACCGCCAACAAAGGAAAAAACAGGGTACAATCAAGGTGACAAAAAAAGAAAAAAAGAAAGGGTGCAAACAGAGAACTCAGCAAAGAAACACTCACCAAGATCCTCTCCTTTCCTCCTGCAAGCGTTCCACAGAGAGAGAGAGAAAGAGAAAGAGAGAGCACGGAAGCTGCTTGGTGTCGGTAGCTCGAACGGGGGATGGAAGCTGTCCTAGCGATGGAAAAGGACTTCGAGGATGGATCGACGACAGACTGGTGAAGCGACGACGGGCTTCGGGGTGGTTTCCAAGGGACTGCTTCCAACCGAAAACGCCTGGACGACTCTCGAGCCTCGGCCTGACTCGGCCTGCCTCGAGTCTGCCTGACCCAGTTTCTCTCTCTCGTACAACCCACGCATCCACCCCCGCCTGACCGTCCAAAGGCGGTTGTTTTCGCGTAGGCGTGGCCATAAACCTCGGCGAATACCAGAGGTCGCGGTGGAGTACACGAGGGTGGCACGGTAGGCGTGTTCTACCGTCGCCAATCCCTGTTCGAACGTCACACCGACGTGACGTATCGTGCCGTCCGTTCTCCCTTATCTCGTTTCCTCTACTAGCCCCGAGATACCGTAAGGTGGTGGTCTCCGCGTGTGCGGGCACACTCGCCACAGGGAATACCAGCCGTTTCTTCCCTTTTATATGTTTACGAATGTACTCTAACGTGGAACCGATGGGATTCTAGGGAGGCTACTTAGCCGCGAAATCTCCGGCACGCTTGTGCCCGAGATACTGCACGCCGGAGGGATGACTCTGGTTCGAAGCGGAGAAGATGCTTCCGCGGCGCCCTTTGAGAGAGGCACTCGTTATCGACAGAAATTATTCCGCTCGCGGATACGGGGCAGAGATCACCTGTGAGAAATATGTCGTCTAATATGGAATGTGGGTCAGAATGGCAGATCGGGGTGAATACTTTTAGTGGATTCAGGGATTGGAATCTTCGATGTTTTTGTACACAGGGTGTTTCTTAAATTGTGATACAATTGGAACGTAGGTAATTCTTCGTGTACGATGTCAGTCGAACATATCAACAATCGAATTTGAATATTTGGGAATATTGGGTAGCCGCAATCTGCTTGCTTCAGCAAGAACAGATATCTCAAGATGTCACTGATTTTATAGGGAAGCCGTGTCATTTTTCAACCGCTAAAGGATGGGTTAGGTTGGAGTTTTATTACTCCTGCAGGCGCAGATTCTACTTCAGTATTGTTTCAGCTGCTAGCCGGTGCAGTTCGTTTTCAGTTTCGCGTCCAAGTGAAAAGTTTCATCTCCCTTACATAGAGCTACGAAAGATTCTCGACAAGGTAGGTCATCGAAAAACGTCCCGTGCAAAAATTTCACCTATTTACTCCTTCAAGGAGGTCGGAGTTTCCAAAAAAAATTCATAGCGTATCCGTGACTCTTTTCGCGCCAAGGGATTCGACGATCCTCTCTCGATACCCAACATCCTTGCTGCCTCTTACCTTCCTGTCTCCTCCGGAAAAACAACGATGAAACGTGACGGAACGAAGCGGGGAAAGAAAGAAAGGAGAAACAAAAATTTCGATTGCTGATTTCTTCGGTGGAAAATGTCGCGACGCATGCGTTTCGTTGCGAAGGGGTTGAGGACTTGGTGACACGAGGAAGAGAGAGAGAGAGAGGGAATAGGGACATCGAGAGAATGACGAACGGAGAAAGAGGAAGAAACAGCGGTAGACGAGGGGGTGGGAAGGACAAAATGGACGGCAGCCAATCGGACGACGGGACAAAATGGCCGACGGTGAATTTAATCAATACTTCCTCCGTCCTTCGTGCGAGGGTGGAGGACAGGGCGAGACCCAGAAAGTGCCAGGGACGTAACATCTCGTCGTCGAGCGTACGTAATCGCGTCATTGAGGTCGATACACCTTGTACCTTTCTCATATGTTCCTCAGACACCCGTTATATGTGCCTGGCGAAATGTGAGTTACCTCCTTCTGTAGACGAGGTTCCTTGTTTCTCGCTCTCGTGACTACTTTGAATACACGTACATACATATACACACGTGGCTATAAAAGGGTGCAGTTTGAAAGAGAAGACGCCTTTCGTACAGGAAAAGAAGAAGTGTATTGTTTGCCTTTACTCTGGTGGCTTTTGTTCGATAATTCGTCACGTTACTCGCTCTGATAGGCAAATTGGACTTCCCACGTAGAGATATCGATCATCTTGTTACATCACAGAGGTAACACGTCTTCTGGTGATAAACCATCGAGCGATCTTATCAGAATTTTTCTTAAATTCAATTTCTTCTTATTGCAAAATTTACATTATTTCGATTTCTCTTTTTTTTTTTTCATTTTTATATCATCGTTTCAATTTTTCTTTCCACTATTAAGCGATATATTTCGTTTTAAGCTCTCACGATATTTCTACGAATTGCTTCGTTAGAAATTTGAAAATTTGCTAACTCGGAGATTTCCGCGAAACGAGGAAATATTTCTGTTTCGAAATAATTGCGCAACTTCGAGAGAGATCGAGTTTATGTCCAACTTCCTTCTCCGCTATTTCCTCCGAGAAACTCCCACTGCTTCCTTCCTCTTCTTCTCTTTTCCTTTTTTCTTTTGCGTGGAAATTCGCGTGAGAATCGCTTCGATCGACCGGGCAAAGTGCGTAATTCGTTTCCCGATAGCAGATCAACGCTGTCGTCGATTTTATTGATCGTTTATTTGTTTTAGCAACACTTCGACACGGAAGTGTTGAAATTCTTAATCTGAGATGTCACCAAACTGAGAAATGTTCAGATTAACGCTGCTCTTATTATCATAATCGCGGGTAAAACCCGATCAAGCGTAAGAAAACACAAAGAACAGGCAAAGTAAATATACCGATAGCTTTAGAATTAGTAAATAGTAAATTAGAAACGAGGAAAGAATCGTGAAAGAATGTCCAAACGACGAAGGAAATTACATACTCCTAAATTCCGAAGCTGAAAACAAAATTTCACGCTTATAATTACACCAAATTAAAGGAATTCTGCAAGAATAGGAGAACGATTCGTACTCTCAGAATGAACATTAATTCCATTAATACCCAAAATTCGATCATTTTCTATCGTTACTACTGTAAAAATAAATTATTAATTTGTCCACGAGAGAAAAAAGGGTAGAATTTTTTGAGCACCGCTCAAGGGCATGATTGAAACACGACGAGGATCGATATTCCGCGTATGCGATAGTATGCATCCTCAGCATTCGCGTGCACGGTTACGCGTGAATGCGAATATTCATGGATGCAGACAACGAGCTCGTTTATCTCGCGGAACGAATTTCGCGCAGCCTAGATTGAAAACCCGGCGAATTTCCCTTTGCACATTTGTCTCGTGGCTGGGTATTTTTCGCCAGGACCGCGGTTCTGGTGCAAAGGTAAATTTCACGACAGGAATTGCTAAAAATTTCGTAGATCGACACACTGAAACAAACATCCTACCTACAATCAGTATGAGAAACGAAAGGAAAGATTCTTATTTATCATGAATATCCAGCAATTTTCTGTCGCCGTCGTCTTCGATTACTCTTATCGGTAAAAACACGGCGATAAGGTTCTTCACGGAATAGCGATTCGGTTCGACGAAACGTAATCGAAGATTTCACATACGGTGAAGAGAATTACTTCATCCCGTTTCGAGAGGTATGGTAATTCTCTCGATCGATAAACCAAGATAAATCTATTTGCACAATATGCAATAAACTGTTTTTCTCTATGAACGAAGATAAGAGAATGGAAAAAAGGTGATCGTTTGTAATGCACAATTTCCTTCGCAACGATTACGATAATCTCTGTGAAATAGTGTTCTGTTTGTCGGTAGTTACTACCTTGGTGATCGTTCATCGTTGACATAAGATATAGATAGTTTAATCTTCCTCGTTCACTGTACTTGTGTTTCTTGTTTTACGAGGCAGAAATTCTGGTTCCCTTAAGCACCCACTTTATCGAGAATTCAACAATTCACTGGAACGATATTGCACAATTAATTAATTAGGGAAGAATGTAGAATCGATGAAATTTTCATCGATCATTTTGACTCTCGAGTGGCCAGTGACCCTCTTACAGAAGAAAACAGTCGTGAATACGAAAGTGTTCTACGTGTTATCTTTCGTTACGCTCTTTGGATTCGTTTATACGTAATCAGACTGTACCAGTTGATACAGCCAATGATAGTTAATGCGATACATACAGTCGACGATCAAACAGTCGGACCAGTGGCGTGCGTCGTAAAGCTGCGAATCTCTCTGTTCACTTGGTGCAATCAGTTCGTTGTGATCAGATCAGAGACACGGGCACTTGATTCTTCAGTCTTCGATTGAAATAAAGAGGTGAGTTGTGGAATCGTTTATTGTACAATTTTATGGAATATTTATGGATGTTCCATGTTTTAAAGAAAATTAGAATGGTAGAAAAGACAAAGTAAGTTAAATTATATGGGACTGTGTCTCTTTTTCTGTATGGAAGAGAGAGAACACTGGAATTAGAAAAAGTAAAATGGTAAGGAGTAATTTAAATTAGGAGAGACTCTTGTTCTCCAATTTGCCTCGTCCAATATTTCTCGATCTTCCATTTTATGCACAGAAACTTTTGCCCTCCATCCAACATTTCTCGATCTTCCATTTTCTGCATAAAAGAAGGAGAAAATTAAAATAATAAAAACCAGAACTTAAATTACAAGAGACTTTGGTTCTCCAATTTTCGTTTCCTTCGGATTTTTCAAATTTACGATTACAAACACCGACATTTACACGTTACATTGGAAAGCAACTGGTGTGTCCGTTCGCGTAATTTACACGCGTGCCCGCGTTTTAATTAAAAGCCGTCAGCCAGACCGAATTAGGTAATGAAATACAACGAGCGAAGAAGTGCATCGCGTCGATCAAAGAAATTCGTCCAAGTTTCGCCTACCTGCGTGTTTTCTCCGCGGTAAAAATCCACAACGTTCGAAGAAAGAAGAAAAAGAGAAAACTTGGAAAAGCGATCATCTAAGAGGGTGGAACCGGTTCAGTGACAATTAGTGGAATTTATCGCGAGGTTTGCTCGTGGAACTCGAGACCAGTTATCGACACACGGCACCCAAAACCGATAACGGATACCAAGGTCCTGGTATTACTCTCGCTCCGCGTGCCAAACGAACCTGAGCGATACACAGTGTCTCGTAATTCATGGCACGAGCCTGGACCGAGCAATTTACCGCAGAAGAAATTCAACGAAATAAATAGAATAACTTCTCGTTCAACGTTCACGAGAATTGTGTTCGCCTCGAGAAAAGCTCCGCTTGGAATCTCACTGTCTTGACATTTTTCAAATTTTCTGGCCGAAGGAAACAATTATTAAATTCTTTGGAAGGAATCTGTGATCCTGTGATTGTGTCGTAGAGTCCAAACTAAGTGAAATGATTCGTGATATTATTAAAATTAGCAGTTTCGACGATCTTTCAATCAAGTATAATAACTTTCAATTATCCTAGTTCACACTTCTATGGGTGGGTGATTACAGGCTTTTCTACATATCACTGTCGCTATCGGTAAATTATTGCAGATTACATAGTGAAATCACCCTTCATATTTCAGGGCTGAGAAACTATGAATTAGAATAACTCGAAAAAGAGTTGATTTAAAAAATAGACCCTGAAGAACCAAAAAGTAGTGAAAATAAAAAAATTGAGGTGCTCCACAAACTTGCAAACTTTCAAAAAATAATTCTCTACTATTTGAAGCAACAAACATCCTCGCTCTCCAAAATGTGCTGATTTACAACTTCCTCTCGTACTTCTCCTTCATTTATCTCCCTGATAACTGTTCATTCGTTGACCAGAGCCACCCGGTAAATTCCTGCGTGCAGACATAGGAAGGCACAAGAGGGTCTGCAGGAAATTCCCGATTGCCATAAGCAGTCCCTTCGATGGCTCCTCGGTTGGCTATCGGAACGCGGCGAGATCCTCGTTTGCTTTCGTATTGATTAGCCATCACTTTCAGATGACGCCTCTACCTTGGTGGGTGTTGCTGGCGTTGCTGTTGGTCGTGGTGGCCTCGTATCCCGTGGACCACGCATGCGCCCGCCTCTGTCGCGTACGGAACACCAGCCCCGAGATCACGGGAGGCTGCGAGCACCAGCAGAAACTCGTCCTTCAGTTCAGCGGAGGCCGGTTCCCGATTCAGCGCCTCTTCAGGCTCTGCCTGACCCCGTGTCAAGGTTCCTCCACGTCCAATTCCCTGTCGTTCGACGTCAGTCAAGCTTGTCGCAGCTTCAGGGACTCTTTGATCGAACGTCACGGCTGTATCTGTGACGATCTGCACGATGTTCGCGCGAGAAACCTCGAGGAAGAAGATCGGAAAGTCGAGGGGTTCGAGGCGGGTCAGTTGAACGAAGCTGACGAATGGAATCTTCCGAAGAAATTCGCGAAACACCGGCCTGCATCCTCTTTCGACGATCTCTATCAGCTGATGTTGACGAAGAAACAAGCTTACAAAGACACCATGGAGATTACCAAGCTGGAGGAGAATATACTGGACAGCGCGGACACCGAAGATGCGATTCTTGGGAAAATGGAAGGATCGAATGAAGAATCTTCCATCGACTGGGACCTGTGGTGCATGGCCCAGTGTGACAACGGCAAGGGTGGCAGCGCCTGCAATTGTGACATTATCCCGTGAGAGAAGGAAGAAGACGAGTCTCTTCTCGGACGAAAGGAGGACGAAGATGCTTGAAGAGGCGGAAGAGGAAGAAGATGAGGAGTCACCGGCGGGCACGAATTTACATATCTCGTAGGTTAGTCAGGCGCCTATGGTACCGCTAGATAATATAAGGTTAGTCTTACTGGTATTAATCTTCTCTCTGTAAACTCCAATGTATAACACGTCCTCTGATAAGAAAATTCGCGATAGAGGTGGGGGCGTAGGAACGAGTATCGCGATCGTGTAAATTCATTTGTATACAATTCTCCACTTGGACGATATCTCTCGGTAGATAAATAAGCCAACGAAATTCGCGTTCGTTTTTAATCCGAAGACGATGCTTGGTCGCAGCGACGAGTTCGTTCTACCGATGATCGAACGATTAGAAAATGTCGCGCGATTGGAAAATTTCGTGTTGTTCTTTTCTCTCTCGTCGAATCGATCCCAGCTAGAGATTATATAGGTGACTTAATCGCTTTCTTAGGCTTAAGACTTCTCTTCTAGACGCTAGGCCCGGTCTCACGCGCTTAACGATGCAGCTTAACGTCCAAGGAAAAAGCTTCTATCAAGCCCCAGGTGGATTTTCTCGCAGATAATACCGATTGAATCCTGTTTCACGATAAGACGACACTTTTCGTTCGGTTAGAATTTTGTTGAGGGGGGAATTCGAGTGTTACACAACGCATCGCGTGAATTATTTCGGATCGAAGAGCGTGTGAACGGGACAACGACGTGCAATGTGTGTATTATGCAATAAATAATATTTATACGTGGCCGCGATGCAACGTGGAACGCGTGCATCCGCGCGTCGATTAGCTTAGTTTCGTAAGTATTTACCCCTCTATTGTATATCGGGAAATCTTTTACACGAGAATCGCACGAACGCGAGTACTTAATTAAGGGATTACTTAGGTTAAGCAACGAGAAACACGAAATCCATGTCTTCCATTTTATAGTCTATTTGCTACTCGATGTGTGATTTGAACCTGTTACCATGGCATAACGTTGCATAATTACGATTAACGTGTGTGACAGGTGAGGAGAACGCGATACCAAGCATGCGAGTACGTTAGGTAGTTTCGTCGTTTAAGCGATTTACTTTTATTAATGCAACCACGATCGGAGTCGAGGGAAATCGACGATTTTCAAGAGGTTCGAAGAGTTCCTTCGAACACGAGACGAAAACGTGCGTTCCTTTATTTCTATAGTGTGCCGTTCAAAAAACGTTGTGACGCGACAATAAGACGTAGATTCTAGTATGCCTGTGCGATGCAACTTTGTCTTTCGCGCAATTTCGATTACACATCCGTCTAACTTGGAGATACATTTAGGTAATATACCGACTATGTGTCTGCTAGCTGATAAATCAATTATTGTAATGATTACAGGTGACAGGATTTTTTTTTCTTTTTTTTTTTTGGTCTCTGATATCTGCACATCGAAACTGTTACTGTACCGAGCTACTGCTATAACTGAAGAAATAGGGAGAAATGCGCGAAAGACTCGACTTGAGCAATTTATTATCTGGGCTATACGTATATACATATATATACTATGATTAGTTTTAAGATGAGGATAATTGCTTTGTAAATATTTATACGAATAGTAGGATACGATCGAAGATTCTGTTTAAGTAACGATAAAGAGTCGTCGATACTTTGGGGTACCAATTTACAAATCTAGGATGTAATTTGTGCAACCTATTCGATGTCTAACTTCGACGCTAAATAGTGTTATTGTATTTCATGCGAATGTGAGAGAGGAATGAATGGTTGCTGCCGGCAAGCAGTCATGGAATTTGCGAATAATTAAATTATGTGTATCACGGCGAAGTGTTACGCTAAAAAAAAAAAAAAAAAGGCTTTTACGTGGACAAATTTACAGTTTCTTCCGTGTCTCTGATGTATTTGTAATTGTTTATGTTTATGATTGTACATTGTGTATATACAATATATATATGATGTAAGTGAACAATATCCGCATTATGTTTTGTCATACGATAAATAAAGAACAATATACCCTAATCATTGTGTCTATTAATGTACATTCCTTGAATAATTATTTTTGTTGTGTTAAAAAAAGTCTTGGTTAAAAAAAGTATTTTCTCTTGAGATTAATTCAATTTTTTTAATATAATTATTGGCTGTATTCATTTTGAACTGTTAACGGTGTTAAAGTATAATTTTAATAGTTAAATAGGAGACTAGAATTTTTTACGTTACATTTTTACCATTTGTAGGATATGTAGAAGGTTTAGAAGCAATTTACCTACTGTAGGTCTTCACACGATCTACTATAGCTACAGTAATACATGTAGAAATACAATGGTAAAGGTAGAGACCTTTAAAACCATCAATGGGTTAGGCAACACAGCCATGGAACTTTGTGTAAATACCGAAATGTACCTGTCTCACCTACATATTGCGATATTAATAAAATATATTAAAGATTGCAACAATTTTTTCACAGAACGTGTTAAAATCACACAAAACTCAAATAATTGAAACGATTTTTTTGAAATGTGAAAAAGCACCTTTAACACTGAAATATTAAAGAATTATGAAACAATATTTTGGAGAGTTAAAAGCATTGCAAAATATTGTTACAATTTGACGTAAAGTTCTTTATATTTTTTTATATTTATATATAAGGTGCTTTGATATTTTCATTCTTCGTCGCAAATAGATGGTTATTTCCCTTGGGAAAGAAGTCAATCAGGAGTATCGGTAATTAGGTTTCGTTCCTGATAGCTTGTAACGTTATTCTATAACAATATTAACACCACATATCCAGATCTACAGTCTGGAGTCTTATAAAAGCTGAGCAAGCTTCCGAAAACGACAGAGCAGTGCCATCCTTCCTTTGGAGAAGACATCTCACAGCATCAACAGGTACCATCAGAGTTCCAGTGTGGTAAAAAACACTTCATTATTCCATTTAAAACTTCTTTAATTAATTCCACTATTTAAAAAAAAAATCCAGATACTTGTTCTCAAGTATTGCTTATTTTCTTCGAAAAAAATAGCAATCGCAAAAAATATCGATAATTATTTCTTGCAAAATATTTCGTATTTTTCCAACATTTGTCTCGATCTTGGTCAAGAAATTTTGACATTTCATTCAATCGATAGCCTCTTAGACGAACTTTTTGATCAATTCACTTGCAAATAACCCAAGCCATCTGCACCTAATGGCCACATTTGTCTTCTGCTCCTTTTCTCGACTATAAAAGCTCCAAGCTTTTGCCTTGTTTACAACATTCGTTCACCAACTACCGCATAAGTTCCATCGTTTCCTACACTTGTAAGTAAACTGACCACTTCTCTAAGAAATTCTATTTCTTCGACATCGAACAATTCGACTTGGAAAATATTCCACTTCTCTATTTCGTAATATTTTTATTTCTCTGTTTTGCTACACTTTATTTGGGGAATAATTGATTTTGAATTTCGAGCAGCAAAACCCAAAAAACCAAATCCATCAAAATGGTGTCTGTACGCTTCGTTCTTGCCATCGTCGCCACTCTCTTCGTCCTCGCCATCAGCGTCGACGCTGCCTACAGGAAGCCTCCCTTCAACGGAAGCATCTTTGGCAAGCGATCCAACACCATCACTGGTAAGATCCAAATTCAGAAAATCCTTCAAATTTTATAAAATCGAAGGGAGAAATCGAGAATTCCTTCCTCGTGAATTTTTCTAAATTTCAAATTAGTGTTCTCTATTTGCATCTAAGCCTTTCTGTTGTTCTTTCTTTGTCTAGTGATCTATGTCATTTAATTGAAATTCTAAAGAATAACTAAGAAATCCTACTTTATGAATTTTTATAAATTTCCAATTTTTTAATTTCAAATTAGTGTTCTCTATTTGCATCTAAGCCTTCCTGTTGTTCTTTCTTTGTCTAGTGATCTATGTCATTTAATTGAAATTCTAAAGAATAATTAAGAAATCCTACTTCATAAATTTGTTAAAATTTTAAAAAATATATAATTTGTATTTAAGTTTTCATGTTATTATTTGTCTAGTGATCTATATCAATGATTACTCTTTCATTCTAATCTTCTACAGATTACGAAATGACCAGCCGAGCCATGTCCTCCGTCTGCGAAACCGTCAGCGAGACATGCAACGCTTGGCTCTCTCGCCAGGACTCCAACTGAAGATACTGAACCGACCATGATTCAACACGATGCGACGAATGCTAATAACCGCTGCTTAATCAATCTTATCAACGTTTAATAACTCCACAATCCTCACTATACTAGTCCCCCATTTATCCATTTCACTGGAGCTTTAATATTCGTCGCATCAACCAAATCACTTGTAACTTAAATGTATAAATTAATTTATTTCGTTGTATAAATGTTTTTCATATAATAAACTGTGATGTTTCTTAAACTTAATCCAGTCGTATAATAATTCACCTCTTTCCCATAAATCTCTACTAATTTCTATTTTTTAAACAAAGTGTGACTTTAGAAATATTAAAATATTTTTCTTCACTTGCTAAATTATAAAATATTAACATTAAAATACAAAAATATTCTAATATTTTTCTTGTGACAGTGCATAAATATGGTATTCTCAAAATAAGTACATTTTCTTCCATCTTACGATTCGTGGATCCTAAGTAAACAGCTTTAAACGCGTCGAATGGATTTAAAGTATTGTTCCGGGAGCTTTTACGCGAGCACGCTCGATTTAGAGTAATTTGCGCAGCAAGCAGAGGTTCAACGAAACTCTTTCCGATATCTGAAATGCAGATCGAACCATTCGATATGGAAAGCACGTTTCATTCTCCTGCCGGAATAAGGGTTACGCTGTCTCTTATCCACACACGAGAAATAATTACGTAAAAAACAAACGGTAAAATAATTGACAGATAAATCAGTGTACTTCCATAGAACTCGCCTAATCTCATCATCAAGATAAATTTCATCTACACACACTTCTACGAGCAAATATTGTAACAATAAAACCAGCAAAATGTACTCGATTCCAAGTAGCGCTAACGTAAGATTCAACATGAAAATCATGAATGAAAAGTTCTCGATATCGAAATAAAATACACGTTTTTTAAACCACGGATCCTCTACAATTCACGTCCATAACAAGCACTCGTCCAAAAATCCCTCGGTCAATAATTATTCAACGTTCATCCGCCGCCGAGAAATTGATTCGACAACAGCATAGGGGATCAACAAGCTTCGACATCGATTCACGTTACACAAAACCTGCTCGAAATACTTGATTAACCAAAAATTCTCCCATAAATAGAGACAAGTTTGTCCACTTTAGTACAGTGTATCGTGAACAGATCGAGGTAAGTGTCAACAGCAGCGTTTGCTAGAAAATTCGCAAGAGAACTCCCACTCTCAATTTCCTTCTTTCTACGCTTTTCTGGCTTCCCTGGTTACACCGTAACCTACACACACACACGTACATTATATACCCGTACAATCACACGGAAAGAAAGAGTTCAAACTACTCGGTTATATCTGAAAATTGGACGCCTAGAACGTTGGTCGTCCAAGTGAGGATCAACGATGAAGATTTTTCACGCGTGTTCGCGATTCCATAACAGTCGGGACATTTAAATGCAACGGGGCTTCGCCTGTGCAAACCTCGCGATTTCTTCGCTCACAATCCTCAAGTATTCTGTCCACTCTCTTCGCGATAATGGAAGAAGTCCTACGGGAAAATCGCTCAGTTTTCCCCATACAGCCGTGGAACGCGTGTCGCTCGCTCGCTCGCCGCTGCATTTTCCTTCGAGACTTCACCGTACGACTTTTTCCGTTAACGATGGCGACGGTCCAGTGTGACTACAGTCGGATAAAATAAGACGTCTCCGCGATATTATTTGCAGCGTTAACCGGTCGAATGTTTCTGTGGGAGAATTAAGGGTAAATTGATTTTCGAACCGTTTTGCAGATCGAACAAGTGGCGAGAATCATGACGACTTCGCGATCATTGGGATCCACGCGCTATTTCTTCGTGTACGGTGAGTTCATATTTTTGTATTTTAGTGAAGAATCTTTGGGGTGTTTGTTAGAGCGAGATGAAGCGTGTTTCGACGAGTAGGTGTGAATTTAACGATTCTTCTTTGGGATGTTTCAGTGCTTCTAATTGGCGTTTTGGCGTTGTTCGTTGGCGCGAATGCTTCGGCGGCTGACGAAGTGCCTGCGTTCTTTTTGAAAATCGCCAAGAACATTCCTCGTGTTGGAAGAAGCGATGGCTACGATGATTTTTTGAAATCGAGGAAGAATATTGGTAAAATTGGAGGTCTGGATGCTGATGGACAGGTATTTACAATAAAATTGATCGATCGAACTTTTAATCAATTTTATATTCTGTAAATTCCTCAAATTCTGATTTTTCACCAATTTAATATTACCGATTAATTGTCAATTGACGTAATACTATTTAAATTCTCAAAATTCTAACTTTTAATTAATTTAATATTACCGATTAATTTTCGATCAATTTAATATCATTTAGATTCCCAAAATTCTGATTTCTAGTCAATTTAATATTACTCAAATTCTCCAAATGCTCATCATTTTTCACTCCCCTCTTTAAGTCTGAATCCTGGCCGTCGTATGGCAACGATCAACCCTTTTCTCGTCTCATAAAAAGACGCGTGGATTATCCAGCGCTCGACGGTAAGAAAAATCAACGTTTCATATTCAATTGTAGCACAATTCGACTGATACAACGTTTCATTGTCAACGACAGATGCATGGTCCTGGCAACATTTTCCCCTTGCTATAGAAGGACCCCGTGAACTCTGGCGAACTTTGGCTGGATACACCAAAGACACCACGGATGAGTAAGTCGAGAAAAAAAAAACAGCATTGAAGAGAAAATTTAAAATAATCAAGCGTATTTCTTTGCTTCAATATTTTCTGCTTCTCTAAAAAAAACACAGTATCGACAATGAAATATGGGAACGAAAGAAGAGAACGGGAAACGAGCAGGCTCTGGCTGTTGCGGAGGAGAATTAGCATAAACGGAACGTGGCGCGATTATGGCGCCCATGGACGAATATATTTTAATGCCTGTTGTTGCTGTAAGGTGTCGGGTAAAATATCGCGAAGAATAAACATGTAAATAGGATAGAAGCATTGCTATTCCGAATAATCATTTTTCTTTCAATTAATAAACACACGTCTTGCAAAATATGAATTATTCATTTCCCTAAAAAAAAAAAAAAAAAAAAAAAACGTTCCTTTCGATCGCTTTATTAAAAGAAAGAAAGAGAAAAAAACCGTTACTGCAGGTGTATCGCACTGTAATAATACAGAAATTTGGGAAAATTTGGTTTCTCTTTTAATTTCACATTCCTTCGACCCACTTTTTATTGTTCATTCTCTTTCCATGGAAGTTCTGACACCAGTCATGAAAGAACGGGTAGAAGGACAGCGTGTAATCTGTAAATTTTCGCTGCCAAATTTTACCGGCAGATGGTTTTGCATGTGTCATCGATCGCAACCCTTGAGAAAAAAATAAACGAAGCGACACAGTGGCTACATCTGCGTGTACTTGCGCGCGAGGACAATGGAACTGCGCAATGTAATATCGATTTTATAGGGTTCAAGTTGAACCTTCGAATCCTTAGAATCTCTCAAATTTTCAAATACAGATAGCTCTCATAAAGCATGAAAATTTCTAGTGTTAAATCAGGCCTTATTCAATAAATTACCCAAGGTTTCGGGTGAAATTACCCAAAGCGTCATAAGAGGTCTCCCGCAATTTTCAGACTAACATTCTTAATTTTCAAAATTATAAACAATTTGATGACAAATCTTTTTTCTCCAAATGTCCATCGATATTCAGACATACAAATTCACCAACTTTTTTTTCACCCTGTACACTGGTCGAAGTATGAAATTTCTCCTCCTGAGGTCTCCTTAAAAAAAAGTAGATTTAAAACGAATAAATCCGAAAAATTATTTCGCAATATTCGAGGACACAGAGTGCCTGTCAATTGCAATATCTTCAAGTACCAGAGTGTTGAACAAAACCAAAATATCTTTTTCGTACTTTCTCCTGGTGTGCATTCGTTCACAGCGAAAGAATCGCAACAAGAGGAACGCATATGTCGAGAAAGGAATAGGTTAACCGATGTCAGTCCTCGGCGAGGATCGTACCATCGCGAAATTGCAGTTTCAGGCATCCCCTGTCAGTCGTCATATGGAAGATAATTTTCCTAGACGTTACTCGAAACGTGCGCGTGTACACACGTGCAGTACGCTACATGACAACCGACTCTCGCGTAATTGTCGATTATCGATCTCGCGTGGCACGCGTAACGAAAAAGGAGAAACAACTGACACGGCCAGGGGTCAGGTATTACAAACACTTGTGTAACATGGAGACACCATTGAAAATTAGCAATACCAAGAAAACAACCCCCTTTCTTACGGTTCGTCGAAAGAGAAGTTTCTCAATTTAAAGAACATTTAATTTCGCTTCTGATTGAAACCATTCGATTTTTCGATTTTTCTCGGTTTTCTCATTGAAATCGAAAATTATAATCAACCGTAAATTTTCTCCTCGTGAATAAAGAAACATTGGACTTGAAAGGGTTAATTTACCGTCGAGAATCGTCGAAATTTTTTATTTAATTACTCTGTGCCTTTAATTTGCATACTTTCGCTCAGGAAATTCTCCCTTCTTTGATTTTTTAAAATCGGTCAAATTGTAATCACAATTTTTCTCCTCGCAAACGAACAAAAATCGAGTTACAGAAAATTTTCTACACCCGTAACACCAAACGACTCGTTTCGTAGAAATAAAACGAAAGAGAAATTCGTCACGCGAGACAAACAATTAGAAAAATAAATTAAAGAAGAGTGTCAGATTTTCACAGCGCTAAATTACAATGCAAATTGCCACGTGGGATGACAAACTCGCTTCGAATGGAGGAATATGTACCAGAAGGGTAAACTGTTATTAAAATGATCGTTCTCTAAATTTTTCCAGCGAGAGTAGTAGGACGCTGTTAAAAGAGTCGAGTCAGAAAAGTTACAATGGCAGAGTAGATTCGCGTGAACGCGAAACGTGTTGGCCCTCGGGTTGTCACGACCGCGGACACCGTTTCTCGTTAGAATCGACTTAGGGTTAGTACTCGAGAAGCGGTTATGATAATGAGGGGGCTGAGCCTCGATCAGCCACGTGATCGTTTGCAACACGTGTTGGTCAGAACGCGGGTGGATCGGACCTTGAGGAGGAGTCACTTTCGTATCACTTTATAGAAGCCTCGAGGGAACGCGAATCTTCATCTACCGTCGATAAATCTCGAAATAATACGAATCTTCGCCAATAAAACGCGCGATCTCTCCGTTCTGCGTAATGAAATTTTCAGAAAAATTCCCAACAGCAAGTCGCGATAATTATTTTTACAGCTGAAACGATCGTTTACACAAAACTGTTATCACATTCTACGCACAGATAGCGTGCGACCTTATCATGGTGAACACTTGAAAACTTGCGAAACCAATCGATCAGTAACCAACATTACGAAACCGATAATTTACAAAAATCCATCAAAATTGCAAATTTCTCAGAAAATTCGAGGGTGAATTGTTTAAATAATTTTTTACACACGCTTGAAATTTGCCAGAGCGTCATAAAGATGGCGCCAGCAACGAGAACCTCTGCAGCAACTTACCAAGCGCACCAAGAGCTGCCGCCACTAATAGCTCCTGCAGACCTGCATTCCCATTCCTCGTCCACGGCACCCTGGAACAATAAATTGTTGTAATTACAATAATCCCGGTGTTTAAACGAATGCTCGGTGTTTACGCGGCGGTATACGGCGATAACCGGCAATTTCAATTCATTAACAACGGGATCTCGCGTGGCAGGGAGAGAACGCGGCTATTTCCGATCCGACGCCGCTCGAAAATTCCCATCGGCGTCGGTTCGACGCGAACAATGAAAGAGAGACACTCTTACGCTCCGTGTAACCTAAACGACCGATCGAGAGTCCTAGATACGAAATCTCGACGACGTTCTTCGTCGTCGTCGATAGAACCACCGTAGCTTTCTAAACATCGGCTAATTACCCCCGAGGCGATGCCAGCAATCCTCGAAGAAGCGTTTGCTTGGCACAGCAGCAGCAGAAGCAGCAGCCGCGTAATTAAAAGCCGCGCTTCTCTCCCGGTTGTGTTCCCTTCGAACGAGCGACCCACACATCTCTCGCCGGTAAACTTTCCAAATAATTATCCCGAGTATTATTTAATTCAAGTAATGACTACCGTGGTGAACTGGGTGCCGTAACAACAACGGCATACTGAAAACAGAGGCGAAGAAGAAGAACAAGAAGGAAGAAGAAGGAGACGAAGAGGATTCGTATATTTCTATCGCGCTTCCTCGAGTCTCTATTTCTCTCTTTGCTCTCGTGCCAGCAGATAATTCTCACGTACGACGTTTTCACCTTTTCGTGTCTCAGGTGAGCCGCGTGAAGTAGGATTTTTCGCGGAATAACCAAGCGTTTCCTTGAACACGAGATGGAAAGAATGGTAGCCGAAGGAAGGATTCGTGTGCCCGCTATTCCTTCGGATCGTCGCGCGTTCCTAAGACGTGTCAAGAGAGGAGAGAGAGAGAGAGATGCGGCGCGGCAACGAGTATACACGCGGCGACCAAAGCATCAAGCAGACCAACCAAGTCAGGCCCCATGGCTGGTTTGCACGTAGCAATTTACGGAAACCGCACGTAACGCGCGTTCCCCGTCAGCCGGAGGAGGCGGAGAGACGAGGCCAAGTCGACACGGAGCGTTTCCACGGAGTGTTACGTAACGGATCGGCCGCTAGATCACCGGCCAGAGTAACTGTATTTTCGAAGAAGAAGAAGAAGAAGAAGAAGAAGGCGACGAAGAAGAAGAAGAAGAAGAAGAGGCTTCCTCGGTGAGGCGAAATCACGAGGCAGAAACACTCTTCTTGTACGCCTGCGGGAAACGAAAAGGGGGTATATGCCGGTGCGCGGCTTCTATTTTGCCATTTTTACAAAACACGCCTGTCGAATCCCTTCGGAGGATCTCGCGGAGAAGAGGATGGTTACCAAGGGAGAAAAAGTATTGCGAGTATGTCGGTTTTATGGTAATTGCGATAGCGAGCAACGTGAGGAGAAGGTGAACGAGTGCATTGATTAGGGTAATTGAAGGATTAGTTCCAACGGAGTGGGACCGGGTGGTGGAGGAGTTGTTACGATGTTGCATGGAAATGAGGTGCGTGGTGAACGGTGTCTGTTTCACGTGGTGATGGTTGTCGGTTCGAATTGTTTGGGTGTGGTAAGTCAAGTGGCATTAGAGTTTCTTGGATTTTAATGAGTAATGTTGCGGGGGAAATTTTGAATCTTTGAATTTGAGTAGATATTTCAATTCGATTGGTTGAATTCTGATATTTCAATTTGATTGGTTGAACTTGAGTATTTCAATTGGAATATTTCCATCTGATTGGGTGAATTCGAATATATCAATTTGATTGGTCGAACATGAGCATTTCAATTGGAATATTTAAATTCGACTGGTCGAATTCGAACATTGGTACCTGTGGCACTTTTGATCTCGAGAGAGTAGGTAAACGCAATCGGTCACAGTTAGAACAGACACTGATCTAAAACTACACTGCGAAAACAAAGTTAGTCGAATCCTTAATTGAACGAAATGATACGTCTTCAATATGAACCACTTTATCCGCGTACTATAATTTACCCAGCTGTTTGTAATTTTATAGTATTCCTCGGTTGGTTGTTATGTTTTTTCCAAGACGATCAAGGTACAACCAGGGACTGAAATATGACGACGTAAGGACATTATTAAGAGGTCGATATTGAAACCTAATATAAAATACCTACTCCTTGTGTATCTTGCTGTACGCGACGACTATAATTTTTCTGTCGCTTCTAAATACACACAGCTCGTGTGATTATTCCGTTTTCACATTTTGCAATCGATTCGAACGCTCGATAATTACAACGCGGGCGTGCTTTTTTTTGCCAC